ATGTCAAATTTGTTATAAGAAAGGTCTTATAGCTGCTAATTGTTATCAGCATCACACTCTACCAACTAATTCTGCCTCTTCCATTCAATGTCAAATTTATAGGAAATTTAGGCACACTGTTGTTCAATGTTATCATCGAGGTAATTTCAACTATCAAAGTCGGCCTTTCTCTAGTAATCTTAGTGCTATAGATGCCAATTTTCCACATTCTTCTCCTTTAGAACAATTTTGGGTAGCTGATACCAGTACCACAACACATATGACATTTGATTTGGCTCAACTCAATCTGGCTACACCTTTCTCAAGAGTTGATACTATTACCACTGCAAGAGGTTTGGGTTTGATCATCTCTAATATTAGTTCTTTTATTTTGGATGTCCCTCAATGCTCCTTACAATTAAAGTAAGTTTTACATGTGCCTAAGTTATCTCAACACTTGTTATTAGTTCATAAGTTGTGTAAAGATAACAACTGTCATTTTATTTGTGATGATTTTGGTTTTTAGATTTAGGACAAAATCATAGGGAATGTCCTTCTCAAGGGACTGTATAGAGCTGGGTTATAACCTATTCCTTTCTTCTTAACATTTCCTTTATAGTCTATTTTTCAAAATAATCCAATTTGCTATCTTGGTAAACAAGTCAACACAAGTTTTTGGCACAAGCATTTCAGTTATCCCTCTAACACAGTCACCTCTACTTTGTTAAATCAATCCCAAATTTCCTTCACTTCACACACATCTAAATTTGTTTATACCACTTGTTTAAAGGGTAAACTTGCTAAACTTCCTTTTTCTTATCCAGTAGTTATCTTGGTAAATAAGTCAACACAAGTTTTTGGCACAAGCATTTCAATTATCCCTCTAACACAGTCACCTCTACTTTGTTAAATCAATCCCAAATTTCCTTCACTTCACACACATCTAAATTTGTTTATACCACTTGTTTAAAGGGTAAACTTGTTAAACTTCTTTTTTCTTATCTAGTAGTTAAATCTGTTACCCCTTTAGAGGTAATACATAGTGATGTTTGGGGGCCTTTTTCCACTATATTACATAATGATGTTTGGGGGCCTTTTCCCACTGTATTTGTTGATGGTTTCAAATATTATGTTAGCTTCATTGATGAATATACTTGATTTACTTGGATTTTTCCAATGATCAATAAAGGAAAGGTTTGTTCCATTTTTGTCTACTTTCATACCTTCTTAGTTACTCAATTTTTTGCTACTCTTCGGGTCTTTCAAAGTGATAGGGGTGATGAGTATCTTAGTAATAAATTCCAACATTATCTCTTTACCGAAGGTATTATCAATCAAATGTCTTGTTCCTATACTCCAAAACAAAATGGCCTTGCTGAGTGTAAATACAGACATATTTTAGAAACAGCCATCACTCTATTACAAACTGCCCATTTACCTCTGAAATTTTGGTTTCATAATTGTGCTACTTCCACTTATTTGATTAATAGAATACCTAGTCAAATTCTATTACTCAAATCACCATATTTCCAATTATATGGTTCTCCACTAGTCATTACTCATTTGTGAATTTTTTGTTGTGCTTGTTTTCCATTATTCAAGCCTTATGATTCTAACAAGCTTTAGCCCAAGACTTCCACTTGTATTTTTCTAGGGTTTGTTGGTCAGTATAAAGGGTATATTTATTTTTCTATATATTCGCACTAATCGCTTCTTTGTCACTAGACATGTTCTATTTGATGAATCCATGTTTCCTTACTCTTCTATGGTTCTTGCATCCCCTTCCTTTTCCCCATCCCCCTGTCTACATCCCACTGTGTTCCTTCTTATTTCTTTTCCTACTCTAGTGACTACTCCTCACCCTACTCTATCTTCAAGTTCCTCTTCTCAACCTGTACTATCTCATAGTTCATCCTCACATCCTATATTGTCTTCGTCTCTAACCCATTATGTCATCTACACAGTCCCCTCTCCCTATTAATCCTGACTTCCAACCTAAGAATCTGTGTGCGGTCTTACCTCTTTCACTAATGAATCTTCATCCCATGACCACTTGGTCTAAGAATGGTATTTCTAAAAGAAAGGATTACTTTGCCTCTGTCCAATCTATTGCTTCTTCTCAAGTTGAACTCAATTCCTTCAAGGCTACTGCCACCATTCTTGCATGACAGTTTGCTATAAAGGAGGAAATTGATGCTTTTCATGCATAAGGTACTTGGGACTTGGTGCCTCTGCTACCTACCAAAAATCTTGGTGGTTGTAAATGGGTCTACATAATCAAGAAGCATGCAGATGATTTTATAGCTAGGCATAAAGCTCGATTGGTGGCCAAGGGTTTCAGTCAAGAGGAAGGTATTGGCTATAATGGAACTTCTAGTCCTGTCGTGAAACCTACTATGGTTTGTTTGATCCTTGCTCTTATAGCTCAATTTAACTAGTCCTTATAGCAGCTTGATGTTACCAATGCCTTTTTGCATGGTATTCCTCATAAGGAGGTTTATATAACTCAGCCCTAAGGTTTTGTGGGTAAGCTTTATCATTCTAACTTTGTTTGTAGACTCAGGAAGTCCTTGTATGGCCTTAAAGATGCTTCTCGTGTCTAGAATGAACTCTTTACCAGTTTTTTACCAAGTTTAGGGTTTCAAGCATTTCTTACCAATCCTTATTTGTTTGTTCAGCATCCTTCTCTTGATGTTGTAATCTTGCAACTTAATGTAGATGATATCATCTTTACTGGCAGTTATTTTTCTTTTTTTTCTTCGGTCATGATGCGAACCTCGTGATCATGTGGTCACGTAACCCACACACAAAGACACCAATTCCCAAAAGCCAAGTAAATCAGGTTTGATAGGTGTGTGACACAAAGATAAATTGTACCTAGGCACCAGCACTATTGGAAATGGAAAACCCTCACCCAATAAATATTGATTCGCGAACGAGAAGTATAAGGATGATGCCACAAAGATAGTTGTTCTTTGATAAGTCATTTTTCAGTTCATTAGAGAACCATGGAAGGGAGATTATCTCACCAACATACTCAAACTACAACAAATAAGAAGTTTTATTAATATGAATTGTCTACCCTTATATTTTTGGTTATGCCTCTATTTATACTGACTCTATACTTAACGAATCTCTAATGGACCCCTTTTCGATGGACTTACATGAAGCCCACTTATAACTGACCCAAATAAGTACTAATAACCTTAAAACTAAGAAGAAAATAATAAAAATAATAAAAATCCAAAAATTATCATCCTAAATATGTTAGAATTAGATTTGTCACCATTAAAAAGACCCAAATAGACTAGGAGATCTGATCTAAAATTAAAATTTATTCTAAAATCTTCTTTCTTTTTATAGCTAAGATGAATAAGGAATCCTTGTAAAAAAAAGATTCTGAAATAATTATGAATCCTTGCCACACTTAGAAACTATGTTGCAGCCCATTAAAGATCTTTGTAGAATTATTATATTTCTAAAATAAGCTCGCACATCCTTTTAGAAAAAGAATCCTAGCCAAATAAAAAGTCCACAAGTCAAAAGGAAGTAAATAACAAAATTTATAGAGCCTTTATTGACCCATATTGAGATGCCTTTCTGAACTTTGACATGAAATTTTAACCCAAGGTAGGAAAACATGTCAGGAGACTCTATGTAACATTTTAGCTTGATCCAATGGTCAGATTGAGAATTATGACTATTGCTATAAAACTAGATAGTTGCACATTTTACATTAAAATCCAAATTTGACCTTGCCTAGATCATATCAGGTCATCACTCCAAATTTGACCTTGCCTGGATCATATCAGGTCATCACTGCCTTGACTCAAGAATTTGATATGAAGGATCTCGACAAGTTGTATTATTTTTTGGAACTACAGATCTCTTGTCTCCTTTCTGGTTTGTTTGTGCCCCAGACAGGTTATATCACTAACTTACTTGTTAAAGTTGATTTACAGAATTCCAAATCCTATGATACTCCTTGTCTTCCTCATCATCATTTGCTTAAAGATGATGGGCATCCTTACTCTTATCTACAACAATATCGGAGCATCGTGGTGCCTTACAGTACCTCACATTTAGTAGGCCTGATATTGGCTTCTCTGTGAACCAAGCTTGCTAATTTATGCATAATCCCATGCATTCTCATGTTGTGGCTGTTTAAAGAATCTTGCGGTATCTTAAAGGTACCCTTGATATTGGTATTCATTTTCAAGTTGGTCTTATTAATCTACAGGCTTATCATGATGCTCACTAGGTTGGTGATCCCAATGATCGACACTCTATCTCTGGCTCTATTGTCTTCCTTGGCTTCAATCCTATTTCTTAGGCTTCTAAGAAACAACATATTATTTCTTGATCATCTATTGAGGCTAAGTATCGAGCTCTTGCAATTGTTGTTGCTGAACTTGCCTGGATTTGCCAGCTACTCTATGACATTCACGTTCCTTTACATATCCCCCCATTAATTTATTGTGATAATCTCTCAGCTATTTCTCTTGCTTTCAATCCTGTCTTTCATTCTAGAATAAAACATCTCCAAATTGATTATCATTTTGTTTGAGAACGTGTTATCAAAGGTGATTTGTTGGTGCAACATGTCTCTTCTACTAATCAATTTGCTGATATTCTAACTAAAGGTCTTTCCACTCCTTTATTTCGGCATCATTGTTCCAATCTCATGCTTGGTTCCTTTAAGCCTACAATTAAAGGGGAATGTCAAGATATCAAAGGCTCTACTTCAACTACCTATCAAGAGAATAAAGAATATAATGGTTAGAAAGTTTGTTAATACCATTAGACAGTTAACAAAGTTTGTTACTGTTAATTAGATAATGTAAACAAGCTTCTTAGCTTGAGTTCATATAAAATGAATGTAACAGTGCTGGAAATGTATGTAGTGAATAATACATAGAAACATTTTCTTCTTCCTCTGTATTGCAATATCTTTCTCCAATTCTTTTCATATCTTTCTTCATTTATGTAACAATTTTTACTAGTCTTTCAATAACGACTACCTCAACAATTATTTCTTGGATGACTACAATAGCAACAAATTATATTCTTCTAAAAAATTTGATCAACTTCTTATTGAAATTTATGAAACTTAGCTGAAGATTAGTGACATAACCAAAAGATTGATATCTTCTCCTAAATACAGGAATGTCGAAGTAATAAATAACCTAGCAAGACTGGGGTCGAACTACAATAGGTTAATTATATAAATTATAAATAACAATTACAACAACAATAGTAATAGTAATAGTAATAGTAGTAGGTTCCAAGCAGATATAAATTATTAACAGGATTACATTAGTTATCTTTTCAAATAATGATAATACTTGTAAATATCGTTAGGAATTCATGATTATAACTTATGTTAACAACAAATCAAGTTCCTTTCATAGCACAAGTGTAGGTTATACCATATGATTAGGCTATGAAAGTGCCAAGTATTTGTTGTACCAAGTGTTATACAACATAAATTTCAATTAACCTTTTAACAAGCAAAATATTAAAAGTGAACAAGATAACAAATACAAAACATATTAGTATCAAACATTAAGGTCAATGTTGAGTTTATACTATACTTATTCCTATACCATTAATGTAACCTTTTCATCGTGACATTATAAACTTAGCTAAACATAAGAAAAGAGAGAAACATAAATAAACAAGATAAGAATATAAATAAGATAAAAGTTAACTAAGTAAAGAAAAGGAAATGAAAGGCATAAATAAT